CCTGTTTACACGCTTCCGGTCGTGCCAAAAGACAGATGATACAATATGATGAAACGTCATTCAGGGATCACTTGGGGGTTGTTGCCAAAGGAGCATCGGCCCTATTCACTTTCACTCGGTAGCGTCTCCCCCGCCCCGCCTGTATCGACTAGCATCTTCACAGTTTTCCGAGACTGACGGCAAACACTCGTTCTCATGTTGGAATGACCCTCGTTTGAGCCTCGCTCGTCGATTTGGTGCTTGCATGTGTTTTTGTATGTCTCTTCTGCCCGGCCGGTGGCCAGATCGGCCAGACCCTGGCATAATTACATGTAGACAACCACTATTTGGCATACTTAAATGACGAGTTTGCGTGCGCTATTGCGTGCACATGCAATCTTCTACCTCACTTGAGAAATGCAGGAATCCGGAGCAACTGTACCAAGAGTGACAGGTTATACCGGTCCAACGACACGTGCCCTCAATTCCTCCTGTATTACCCATCTCACAAAGTGACGCGATTCCCACTCTCCTCCTCCTCCTCCTCCTCCTTTTCCTCTTCCGCCGTTCGTCTCTCTCACGGCCCCACTTCTCCAATCAGCGACATCCCCTTTGCTGCTCAGCCCAAAGTGCTCCCATTGTCGAGAGGGGAGACCGGGAAAAGTCTATTTCCCTTCAGCGGCTGCAATGATTTCCCGTGAGAATTATGCCTTGTATAGCTCACTAGCTCAGATGCCCTGGCAGAAGCTTCTGCTCCCTCTATTCATTGTCTTAACAGTCCGGCAAAAAGTGTTGCGCTCTTTACAGTCCAGTCAATTCTGCACTTTAAGCCCAAATGTGACTAGCACAGGCCTCCTTGGGGAGCATACAAATTTGGGCTTATAAATAGGGGAGACAATGACACTGTAATCGCATCCTACAAGACAAAGTTCGAAAATTTGCCGACACAACTGCCAGCAAGGATCAGAGTGGGAGATCAACTTATAGCATTAGATACTCTGATCATTTTAACCTGCTACTGTTTCCTTTGTAAGTAGGCTTTCGAGACGACCAGTAAATCTAATATATAAAATGTTTTCAACTCATGTCGC